ACCCGACCGGAGAGGGCGAGAGGAGGAGGAGCCCGGGTGGCGGGAAGCGAGCCCAGGTTCCCGCGGCCCTGCGGGGGCACGCGGGGCAAACAGCGCTTTATTTTTCGCAGCGGCGATGAGCTGGTGACTTTGGGGGGTCATCCTGAGGGACATAGACGGAACCAGTTGGGAGTAGTTAATTGCTCGGTGAAAATGAACTGATTTCTTCCTCAGGGAGAGATCTGGAAAGTCAAGGAAAGTTGTGCAACGGGGCACAGCGTGAGCGGCTCACTCTCGGGTCTTCTGACAGCCACCCGAGTTGCCCACCGTCCTTAGATTTCTGAAGTTAATATTTTGAAAGCTGCAAAACATGAAAATAGCATTGGGTCGAGTCGTTCTCAAGGTATGATCTTTGGGCCACCAGGCCTCACAATCGCTTTGGGTACTGGCTGAAAACATAGGTTTCCAACTCCAAACATAAAAAAGCGAGGATCTCTGAGAGTGGAACCCAGAAATAAGCATTTATTAATTAGGTAGGTGATTCTTGTCAAAAAGGAAGAACTCATTTTTTTTAATGTTTTAAACCTACCAAGCATTAACGTTTTCTGTCATCCAAAGGAAAAAACTATCAGGTAAAAAAAGTGCACGCAGCAGTGTTTGAGCATTTTAATGTTTGTGAAATAAATGAACGCAAGAGCATACACTTACCTATTTTTAAAAAAATCAAGAGCATACACAAAATTTCCGAAGAGGAAGTTGAAAAAAGGATACAATAATATGAAATCGCATTCAGCTCTTGAAACTGACCACTACCATAGTTTAAAATGATACTCGTTTGTTTATTCAAATTATTCTTGATGGATATCCATTGGTCTATTTTTTTCCCACATCCTTTAACGTCAACTTAAAAATAGTAAAGGTACTGCAGCTCACTAACTTGTTTTTGACGTTTTACACAAGAGAGCAGTCATTGCGAATCTGACACTCCAGTTGCTGATTTGCTAGAACTCTGCCCAAAAGTCAGTGGTTTGTTCTTGGGCATTTACAGTACCAGGCAGAATCCATTTAAAATTGTCTTCATCCAAACTATTAAGTGGACCAAAAGCTGCTCTCTTTTTAGGCTCTCCCTGTCACTTTTGATATTTCTTTTTTTTTTCTTTTTTTTTTTTTTTGAGACGGAGTCTTGCTCTGTCGCCCAGGCTGGAGTGCAGTGGTGCGATCTCGGCTCACTGCAAGCTCTGCCTTCCGGGTTCACACCATTCTCCTGCCTCAGCCTCCCGAGTAGCTGGGACTACAGGCGCCCACCACCACGCCAAGCTAATTTTATCTTTTTGTATTTTTAGTAGAGACAGGTTTTCACTGTGTTAGCCAGAATGGTCTCGATCTTCTGACCTCAGGATCCGCCCGCCTCAGCCTCCCAAAGTGCTGGGATTACAGGCATGAGCCACTGCGCCCGGCCAACTTTTGATATTTTTTTCTGTGTTACAGTTAATTAAACAGCAATGATTTTATCTTTCATTCTCCTCAGTAGCTTGCCCATTATTCAATGGAGTTTTGTATATGTACATAGATTTTTTTAATTATTATTATTTTATTATTTTTTGAGACAAAGTCTCACTCTGTCGCCCAGGCTCCATTGCAGTGGCATGGTCTCGGCTCACTACAGCATCTGCCTCCCAGGTTCAAGCGATTCTTGTGACTCAAGCCCACAAGTAGCTGGGACTACGGGTGTGCACCACCATACCAGGCTAATTTTTATTTTATTTTACTTTATTTTTGAGACAGAGTCTCCCTCTGTTGCCCAGGCTGGAGTGTGGTGGTGTGATCCTGGCTCATTACAACCTCTGCCTTCTGGGTTCAAGCAATTCTCCTGCCTCACCCTCCCAAGTAGCTGAGATTACAGGCACCCGCCACTATGCCTGGATAATTTTTGTATTTTTAGTAGACACAGGGTTTCACCACGTTGGTCAGGCTGGTCTCAAACTCCTGACCTCAGGTAATCTGCCCGCCTCAGCCTCCCAAAGTGCTGGGATTACAGGCGTGAGCCACCGCGCCCGGCCTTACTGGTTGATTTCGTATCTTTTTTTTTTGACATGGAGTCTCACTCTATCACCAGGTTTGAGTGCAGTAGTGCGATCTTGGTTCACTGCACCTCTCTGCCTCCCAGGTTCGAGAGATTCGTCTGCTTCAGCCTCCCAAGTAGCTGGGACTACAGGCACACACCACCACGCCCAGCTTATTTTTATATTTTTAGTAGAGATGGGGTTTCACCATATTGGCCAGGCTGATCTCGAACTCCTGACCTCATGATCCAGCCGCCTCGGCCCCTCAAAGTGCTGGGATTACAGGTGTGAGCCCCTGTGCCTGGCCTATTTTATTTTTTTGAGACGAAGTCTTGCTCTGTTGCCCAGGCTGTAGGGCAGTAGTGCAGTCTGGGCGCACTGCAACCTATGCCTCCTGGGTTCAAGCAAATCTCCTGCCCCAGCCTCCCAAGTATCAGGGACTACAGGCATGCGCCACCACACCCAGCTAATTTTTGTATTTTTAGTAGAGATGGGGTTTTACCATGTTGGCCAGACTGGTCTCCAACTCTTGATCCTAGGTGATCCACCCACCTTGGGCTCCCAAAGTGCTGGAATTAACAGGCATGAGCCACTGCACCCAACCTCCACCAAGCTTTTCTTCCCCACTCAGTGCCCAAAACAATGCCTTATATTGTAGGCCTCTTTAAATAATTGTTTCACAAATGAAGGCCTGCCCTCCTGGTGGACCTTAATTTGTTTGGGGAGAAATAGACCAAAATAACAATAATACACGTATATGAAAATAAAGTAGGGAAGAGCTGGGCACGGTGACTCGCACCTGTGATCCCAGCACTTTGGGAGGGGGAGGCAGGCAGACTATTTGAGGTTATCAGTTTCAGACCAGCCTGGCCAACATGGTGAAACCCCATCTCTATTAAAAACACAAAAAAATTAGACTCAGTGGCTCAGATGCAGTGGCTCAGGACTGTAATCCCAGCACTTTGGGAAGCCGAGGCGGGTGGATCACCTGAGGTCAGGAGTTCTAGACCAGCCTGACCAACATGGTGAAACCCTGTCTCTAGTAAAAATACAAAAATTAGCCAGGCACGCTGGCACATATCTGTAATCCCAGCTACTAGGGAGGCTGAGGCAGGAGAATTGCTTGAACCGAGGAGATGGAGGTTGCAGTGAGCCGAGAAAGCACCACTGCCCTCCAGCCTGGGCGACAGAGTGAGACTCCCGGGAGTGAGAGAGAGTACAGATCACATATAGCCTTTTAGACCTCTGGTAGAACTGTGGCTGTCCTCTGACTGAGATGGGAAACTCATGGACTGTTTTAAGCAAAGAGGTGATCTGATGTATGTCCTGAGTTAGGCAACATTGGACAAAC